GGCGTGGCCATTCCCCCTGGGGAGTGATTTCTCGCTTTCTGTCTCTCTATCCGGCGAGTGCCCTATAGCAAAAACTCTCAAAAAAAGAAAAAAGTGCTTTATTTCCCAAATAACAGTAGAGTGATTTTTTTCAGTGTGTACAAGAGAGAGTGGTGTTGAATGTTGGGGATGGTGAATGTGCTTATATCCTTAACTTGATTATTGCACACTGTACATATGCTTTTAAAAAATAGTATACTTGGACCAGCAGTTGACATAGTGATTAAGGTCCTAAGCTCCCAGGAGGTTGACAGTGGTTCAAGTCCCAGATCTGGTGGCTTAAAGCTCACACCAGGGATGTATGCATTTGTTGCCGAAATCTCAATGGGAGAATGGAGGAGAAGCGATTGTGGTGTGACCATCCCACCAGGGGGTGATTTCTCGCTTTCTATCTCTCTGTCTCTCCAGAGAGCATATATTCCCTATAGTAAAAATATCAAAAAAAAAAAATCCTTGATCTCACAATTATATGTAAACAAGAAATTACAATTAAAAGAAAAAAAACAATTCTTTTGAATCAAACAGGGAAAGCTCGTAGAATATTAACCATAAATGGCTAATTCATAGGCAGAATAGGAATTCAGCTGATTTTTTTAACCCTCTGGGTATAGCTTCCTAAAATGTCATCCTCAGAGACCTTTGTTCTACTAAAAAGTCATCAGTGTAGAAGGACTAGAATCAGACCTGCATACATATGCCCAACAACTGGCAATGTGGTGACTTACTCCTTGGTTCATCTTCTTGTTATTTTGAAGTATAGTCCAAATAGGAGGCACCTTCTTAAGTACCTGAAAACCCAGATGTTCCAATTGTGGATCTCATCAATCAAGATTATTAACATGATTATCTCACCTCTTGTAAGCTGTTATGATTTTACTATTTAATACTTCAATTTATCTGAGAATATACTCAGTGCCTGAAATAGTCTCCATGACACCATTCTAATAATATTAAATATTTCTTAATGTTAATATTAAGAACATAGTAAGCAATCTTGTTTAATAATTTCCACATAAATACTGAACTTTATTTTATTATAATTCCATTCTTTAAAGACATTTTATACTTGTTACCTACCTGGGTTTGTTTGTTTCTTTATTTTAATACTTTTACAAACTAGACAATTTACTTGAATAGATCCTTCTGGGCCAAAGAAAATTCTGAAAAATATCTGATGAGTTCTGTTTTACTGTAGATTCTTTTTAAAACATGACACCATTTAAATAAAAATAAAATATTTTTTCCAGAGACATGTACAATTTTCTAAAAAAGGAGATACTATTTCTGTTGTTTTCAGAAGTAGAGATTGACAATGAAGAATTGACAATGTTGACAATTTTATTACCCTATCATTCTTGATTTATTAGCAAGCAAATAAATATTTTATTTATTAAGAAAATTGGAATTAACTCAAAATTATTTACTAGATTTGGTACAAAAGGATTTAAAGCTCAGATCTTAAAAAGTGCAAGTTGTTTAAAAGATTCAGACCTATTAAAGTGTTTACTGTATTTCAAAAACAATATCAATATCTTGGCAATCTAAAAAGCTTTAGAAGAACATCTATTAGAGAATACCTGGGAAGAAATCAAAAGAGGAGCAGAATTTCCATATAGCCACAGGAAGTAGTCCTTGGAGTTGGCATGGAATTGATGACTGAGAAGGTGGAGGAACTGAAACTTGCACTGGGTAAATTCAATGGACAAGACAGGAAGAAGAGGGACCCCTTGCAGCAAAAGCAGCACGTTCTTCCAAACATTTGACTTAACAATTTTAACATTAAATATACTTTAAAACCTCTTTTCTGGAGGAAAAGAACTTCTAATAATTCTGTTTAACTATATGAACCAAATAAGTAACAACTCTTACATAATCCCTGTTGGAATTAACCTGCAGGTTTTGGGGGTGTTTGTTTGTTTGTTTGTTTTAGAACTCCTTTCTGATTAGCATCATAAGCAAATACAGAGAACTGGAGGACTCAGTGTTTCACAGATAGCCCTCTATTGGTCTATTGGTAGTTGGGTCACTTGACACAACTAGATTAGTGTACAAAGCAGACAGCCCTAGTTTGGGCACTATAACAAAGTAGATGTAGGGGCACATGGGAAAAATGGGGAATACTGTACTGGGTTCCCTTTAAAAACAAGATCTGTTAACTGTTATAAAAACCAAGTTCTGGGGACCGGCAGGTAGTGTGATGGTTAAGGACGCTGGACTCCCACATGACTGACCACGGTTAAAGTCCTGGACCTGGAAGCTTGCTGTCTCACTTTCCCTCTCTCTCTTTCTCTCTCGCTCTGTCCCTCTCTGGTCAAATTTAACAAAATGAAATAAATGAATTAATAAATAAAGTTAAATAAAATAATTCTTAAAAAAAAAGTTCTGTTGGAATATTTTATAGAATAAGAAAGAGCCAACTGCCATATTAAACCTTGGGGTTTGAAAAAAGATGCATTGCTAAATGAAAAAATTCCACTGAAGATGAGATTACAAATAAAGTTCAAAAACAACCAATTTTGAAATTCAACACTGAGAATGAAACTATTTTAAGAATAAGGGGAAGGGAATTGAGAGATGGTCAAAGTTAGCAAGGTTTCAGATTTATAGGTGAAATAATTTTTGACGTCTGTTTTACAATGTCATGACTATAATAATTATAATAACAATGTACTGCATATTTTTAAAAAACTAATGGTAGATTTCAACTGTTCTTGACATCAAATATGTAACTAATGTCCATTGGTAAGCTAACTGCTAATTTAGTCATTACACATTATGTGTCTGTGTATATGCACATTGTACTACAAACCATAATTATATACAATTTTTATTTTCCAATTAAAAATTAAAAATAAAACAACATTCATAAGATAATAAAAAGGGAATAAGACTAAAAATATTTTGATGTACATATCTTTAATATCTTCAAATAGTAAATGGAACATAATAACGATTAAACAAATGAAAAAGCATGGAGGTTTTAAGAGATATAAATTGAATTGCATGGCCATTAAAAATAACCTTCATTTGAGAATAAAAATAGAATAATTGAAACAAAATTTAATAGTTGGAATACTATTTGAGGCTATACCTAAATGAGGACAGAATTAATAAATAATATAGTACTAAGCAATGCCCCCAAAACATAACACAATCAAATGAAGAGTTTGAAAAGACGAAGAAATCTAACCAGGAAGTTAAATTGAGAAATCACAACATTTTTCAGCTAAATAGACTTCTGAACAGACAACATTGAAAGGTATAGAACATATAATGATTGACAATATTCAAAATTGAAGCAATACATGACTTTTCTGATCAGAAATATTAGGTTCTAAGCAAAATAAATTGACTATAAATTCCGACTCTGCACTATATATTGAGTTGCAGAACATAGATGATAAAGAGGACATGATGCAGAGTAGGATGCTAGGAAGAAATACATGCACACCAAGAATCAATGGAGACTGCTTACTGAAGGATTTCTTCACACAGTTGTGTAAGGACTAAGAAACAAAGAGAAATACAGAAACAGTCAGGACCTATGGTAAGAAGGAAGGACATGAAGAACAGCACTTAATGATAACAGGCTCCTACAACAAAAATCTGTAGTGCTCCTCTAAATGAAAAAAAATTTACTTGAAAAAATAGAAAAACAAGAGAGGATAGATTGTTCTGTAGATAATAATAGCAACAACACCAAACAAGGACTATAAAAAAATTAATTTTACAATACATGTGCAATTATCTGTGTAAAACTAACTATATTTATATTTTTGAGAGACAAAAATGTAATATTGTAGGACTTCTGGATAGGAAACTAAAATGTAAGATTACATTAGAAGACATTCTATCTGTTACCAATCTCAAACCTAATTTGCTTGCCCAAGCACTATAAGATACACTAAAGGCACAAAGTGCAATTAAGGAAAGTACTTCTTTATTGCCATGCACAAAAGCAAGGAGAACAGGCAGCTCATGCTAAAAATCCCAGACCTCTCCAGTGGTTTCCCACATGAATTTTTCAGGGAAAATTGCTAGTAGGGGTCCAAAGGGCACAATCTCTCCAATGATTAGTTCACAGGGAAAACTCATCTGAGGGCCTTCTACACTGACTGGGCCTTAGGTAATAAATTTTCAATTTAATAAATAAATTTTCATTCTGGGAGGAAGAAGTTATCAGGTTTCTGGCTCCATTTAGTCAGGCAGTCTGGGTGCTAGCACCCAGCAATTTCATCCTGTAAAACATCTTAATATAAGTAAACCTTTCCTTTCCTTTAAATGTATAGTTCTCATTCTTGGCCAGTGTCACTTAATTACCATAACCACAGTCTGAAGTCTTAGTTCATACTTTGGGCTGTTAAAATTTAAATGAATCTTGTAATTCAACTCCCTTGGAAAGACACTTTATTGTCAGTTTAGCTTTAATTATAAAATTTTTTGGTTTGGGGAATGTCCCTGTTTTCTTTAGCACAAGGTGAAGTTGAGGACTCAGCCCTGTTTAGAGTATCCCTACTCAATCTCACATAAATATAAGTTCTTTCATCTAAATTTGATGTAAATTCACTGAAATTTTAGACAAATATTTTATAAAATATAATATTACAATGTATGCACTAAAAAAGAAAAAAGTCTCCAACAGGTACCTGATAATTTTTCTAATTAGAACAAGAGTCCCCGTATAGGATTTCTATCTGTCATCATCTGCATATATTATAAAATTAGATTTCAATAATTTTTTTTCATTTGGTTTTCTTATTTACTTGAATAATGATGTCTATTTCCCTACCTATCTATTTTTCCCATTTGGTTTGTTTGTAAGAATAACATCTGTATCACTTGATTTTGTAGGACTTCAATGATTTCAATAGGAGAAAGTCAGTAATTTGAGTCAATTTGTACTACTATTTGCATAACTACAGGAAGCCTCTTCTCATCTCATATTGATTTCTTAACATACCGGCATGTCCATCCTCAACTCCTCTGAATTTGAAATCTCTATTTTCTATTTGGTTGGAATCCCAGGGATGGAGTCTGCCAATGTTTGGATAGCCATTCCCATATGTCTCATGTACCTCATTGCCATCCTGGGGAACTGCACCATCTTATTTTTCATAAAAACAGAGCCTTCTTTGCATGAACCCATGTACTATTTTCTCTCCATGCTGGCTCTTTCTGACCTAGGGCTTTCTCTTTCCTCTCTCCCTACCATGCTAAAGATTTTTTTGTTCAATGCTCCAGAAATTTCTCCCGATGCTTGTATTGCCCAAGAGTTTTTCATTCATGGATTCTCAGCTATGGAGTCATCTGTCCTTCTCATTATGTCCTTTGACCGCTTTATTGCCATTTGTAACCCTTTGAGATACACCTCCATTCTTACCAGCACTAGAGTTGCTCAAATTGGTCTTACATTTTTTCTCAAAAATATTTTGTTGATTCTCCCTTTCCCTCTCACTCTAAAATATCTAAGATACTGCAAACATAATCTCCTGTCCCATTCCTTCTGCCTCCATCAGGATGTCATGAAGCTGGCTTGCTCTGACAACAAGGTGAATGTCATCTATGGCTTATTTGTGGCTCTCACAGGTATGCTAGACTTGATATTCATTTTTGTGTCCTACGTGCTGATACTGAGGGCAGTATTAAGTATAGCATCGCAGAAGGAAAGGCTCAAGGTCCTTAATACTTGTGTCTCGCACATCTGTGCCGTGCTCATCTTCTACATGCCCATCCTCTCCTTGGCTGTCATCTACCGTTTTGCAAAATACAGTTCCCCTGTCACTAAGATTCTCATGGCTGATGTATTCTTGTTGGTGCCCCCATTGATGAACCCCATTGTTTACTGCGTGAAGAGCCAGCAGATAAGAAATCTGATCTTAGGGAAAATGTGTCAGAAGGAAAGTTGACAAGGAAGAATCAATGGAGGAGTATTCACTAAAGGATTTCTTTATATAGTTGTGTAAGGACTGAGGACAACTTAAGTTAATAATCAGGCCAGATTTATTGAGTCCAGACTTATTTTGTCAATAATAATCATTAAATGATTAAGAAGTGGTGTATAGAGAGAAATTTTATTCCAGAAAATTATACTGCATCCTTGTGGATTCTTACTTCTATTCCTCTCCAGTATCTGACTACAACTTTCCAAGCTAATGTTTCCACATTGTCTCTTACATTTCCAACTTGGTACTAAGAATTAAAACTGCCCTTTATTTATCCCAAGCCCTGCAAACTGAGCTGCACAACTTGATATGAGCTTCAAAAACACCCTCTTGCCTGCTGCCATGTGGATCACCCAGAAAGTTTGCCAAACCATCTGACAGCATTGGTAAAGTTCTTCAAAGTACAAAGAAACTTTGAGACTGCCACTTCCATACTGACTCCATCATCCAAAGGTGCTTTCAGCACAGTGTACGGAAATTTCTATTAGCTGATCTCTGAACTCAGAAACTAGATTTCTAACTGTTGATCTTTGTTTTTCTTTAATTGTCATGATAATTTTCTCATTAAATGCCCGATACCCTGCATCATCTAGCAATTATCCTCTAGTACCTAGACCCAGCAGATAATTCAGCTCATCTTTTTTTTTTTTCCCAGTTTGATCAGAGAGAGACAGAGAGAGAGAGGAAGTGAGACAGCAAGCCCAAGGTCCAAGACTTGAACCGTTGTTGGCCATGTGGGAGTCCAGCGCCTTTAACCACCATGCCACTTGCCAGCCCCCATAATTCAGCTCATCTTTAATGAACAGAAGATCACTGATTGACACAAAGAACTTTTATTGTTCAAACTAAAGAAGAATATATCTTCTCTCCATGAGCAAGAAGGAAAATTGCCAGATACTTCAGATATTCTCTCCTTTACCAAATTCTATTCAGCCTCCTCTTAACTGCATTTCTAGCCAGCCTCAATATTTACACTTCCATGTTCATCTTTGTATAGTTTTTTTAAATGAGACTCTTGATAAATCAGTTCAATCTCACCCTCCACTAATCATCCAGATATCTAATCAGTATCTCATCTTGTAACATCCCCCAAACAACTTCTGACCTCACTGACCTGCCTTCAGAAACTTATTAGATCAGTGCTGCCAGAATCCCTCTTACCCCTGATGTTACCACACAATAAAATTCCATTTACCAATCTGCCATCGCACTACCATGTTCTTTCACTATAAATTCCTACTTTCATTTTTTGTATTTGGGATTGAGGAGTTCTGTTTCTCCTACTATAAGACATCATTATAGTAGCCTCATAGTCTCTCTAAGTAAAGTCTTCTGTAAAGTCTTTTAACAAATGTCATGAATAATTTTTATTTCATATCCACAACTCGTCATACTAAACATAGTTTGTCTCCTTTAATGCAAGAATGTACACTCTGTTAAAAGCTAATATTCAGGGGACCAGCAGATGGCACAATGGTTACATGACTAGACTCTCATGTAATCGAACGTGTTTGAGTTCCAGACCTGGCAACTTAAAACTCATGCCAGGCACGTGTGCGTGCATGCCAAGAATCCTGAGAGGAAAATTGAGGAGAAGGGATTGTGGCATGGCCATCCCCCCAGGGGGTGCTTTCACATTTTCTGTCTCTGTCTCTCTGGCGAACACACGTGCCCTATACCAAAAACAAACAAACAAACAAAACCCAAAAAACAAAACAAAACAAAACAAAACAAACCCCAAAACCTCTCTAATATCCAAAAATGTAAACATCCTCCATTAAATACATAATTTAATTTGTTCTTAAATGAGGAAATGTGGTAAATGTTAAGACTAATTCAAAGGTGAAAAGACATAGACACAGAAATGCTGATATGAAGCTGATAGAAGTAAAGAAATACATTCTCTTACAGTAAGAAAAGGAATTCATTTGACTCTCTGCCAGCCAGGATTTACTTTCATGTTCTTATTCCTGGATTATTTTGATTTGTGTTTGAAATTGTCATAGTGACTGACTGGCCCCACAACAGAGTTATAAAATTATCTTAAAAATAACAAAAGTGCAAAGTACTCTATATTTAGAATCATATAACCTGGAAGGATGCATTGTAAACATTTTGCCCCTTTCCATTGAAGTACAACTTTTCCCCTATAGTTTCTTAATATAATAAAAATCAAAGCAAACAAACAAACTCAGAGAAACAGTCTGAATATGAAACATGATTTTTTTTTTTTTTTTTTTTTTGCTATAGGGTATATATGCTCGCCAGAGACAAACACACAGAGAGAAAGAAAGGGAAGGGGAAAAAGCAACTCACAGGTGGGGAAGGTCCTAACACATCCCTTTCCCACCATCCTTCTCTCAGAATCTGGGTATGTATGCACATGTTCCCCATGTCTTTTTCAAGTCTCTGGTATGGGACTCAAACTGCAAAGTTGACCCAATAGAATCCAGCTTTCCTAACTCTCACACCATCTGCTGCCCTATAGCCTCTTTATTATTTACAAAAGGAAAATGAAAATGCTAATTTGTCATATAAGCCTTCTTAACCTTCATGTTTTCTTGACAAATCTCACATTGGACTTTTAACAGTCATGACTATATTCTGTGCATAGGCAAGGAAACCCAGTTCAAGAAACCCTCTATATCAAATAACTTCTTCAGGTATCTTTATTATCAAGCAATATTTTCTTTTCTCAGAGTCCCCAAAATGTCCCTAAGGATCCTGGCATGTGATATCCCTACCACCAAATGTGGGACCAGTCAGTCACTATGACAATTTATGGCAGGAGAGCTTGTCAGCATTGGATTAATACAGTTGAGCTGAGCTCCTTAAAAGTAAATAGGAATGCCTGAATAAAAGGAGCAACATTCTCCAGTAGATATTCCAAAGTAGGTCTTGAATAAATACTCAATTTATTGAAGTATATCCTGGTTAAAAGGAGAAAAAGTTTTTAGTAAGCCTCTAAATAACACATTGTCATGAAAAGTGCTAACACTGAAGAGTTTCTAAAGTCTGAGGATTCAGTAAGAACTATCTATTTCTTCAAAATGGTTTATTCCAATTTGAAGAATTCAGTCTTCCAGATTATTATAGGTTGCAGATAGTAGAAGTACTCATACCCTAAGACAATTGAATATAAAAAAATACATAAATAATGCTTTAAATACCCATAATAAATTATTCTCACCAGTTGATTTGGTTTCATGTGACTAGTTATTATTCTACCGAATCTTGAGTTAGTCGTGTCATGGAGCTAATCACCTCATTACGTAAAAGAGTCCTGGAAAATTTGAATCAGCCCATTGGAATGGTCTGTATGTTACCCAAGAGTCTATTCTTTTTTTTTTTTTTTAAATTTATAAGTACCTTGTACAGTTCTTATACATGGGCAGTGACGAAATTGTTTATCTGCTGAAGACATGAAACTCTGACCTCTTTGAATTCAGAGCTTTCAGGATTGTATCAGACTCATACAGAAACTACACATAATTTAAAGATAGTTAAGCTAAATTAGGAGAGTTAAATCTTTCTTTAAAGACCATAGTTGGGACTAGCAGATGGTGTAATGTTTAGGTCACTGGACTCCCACCCACATAGTCGACTGTGGTTCAAGTTCCAGACCAGGCAGCTTAAAGCTCATGCTAGCGGTGTGTGTGCATGTCCAAGTTCCTGAGAGGAGAATAGAGAGAACGGATAGTGACATGGCCATTCCCCACAGGGGGTGATTTCTCATTTTCTGTCTCTGTCTGTCTGGCAAGTACACGTGCCGTATAATAAAAAAAAAAACTCTCCAAAAAAGGGGCTATGGTTAATTTATTATTGATAAATTTGAATTTTTTATGTCACTTAATAACACAAATAATGCAACTGACAAGAAAATTTTTTTTTTTTCTTTATTCTTTTTTTTTGGAGAGGTTTTTGCTATTGGACACGTGTGCTCGCAAGAAAGGCAGAGAGACAGAAAGTGAGAAATCACCCCCCAGGGGGGATGGCCATGCCACAATCCCTTCTTCTCCATTCTCCTCTTGGGATCTTGGGTATGCACGCACGTGCGCCTGGCATGAGTTTAAGCCACTGCGTCCGGGACTCGAACTGCGGTCGACTACGTGGGAGTCCAGCAACATAGCCATTACGCTAAATGCTGGTCCCAAGAATTTTTTTTTTCTTATTAAATTCAAAATAAGATAATAAAGCCATTACAAAAAAGAGATTTTCAACTAACTTTCTCTAAGGTCGATAATAAAGTCTGTGTTCAAAGATAGTGAATGTTACATCTGATGTTTAGAAATGAATAAATATAAGATTGAGCCTGGAAGTAATTTTAGAATATCTAATGACTACCAAGAGAAATAATACACATACTAAATACACATACTAAATAAAAAAAAATGGAGAACATAGCTGGAATAGTAAGACAGTTAATGAGTTTTGAAAGTGTTTAGATTTCTACATTTGTGTAAGATTCTGTGCTGAAGTCTGATGTGCTCGTCCATCAGAACTGGGTGGGGCCGAGGAAGCAAAATATTAACGGACACAAAAATGGAAAATTATCTTTTGATTAATATGTTCAGGGTTAATATCTTTGACTGGACTAGTATACAGTGTATCCATGCTGGGAAAATTCATTTTATATGCTGTAAAGATGCACAGTAATTAACTATAACAAAATAAGAAAATAAAAGAGAAAAACACTGGCCTTGAAGATGCTGGATTTAAGTAAAATTTTCAAGCTATTCTCAACTTATAAATGGAAAAACCTATCATTTGAAGGAAGTAAATCTAGTGGAGGAAGCAGACACATGAAGACATGCTTATCACGCACTGTGAAAATGCTCTGAGGTTATTATATGGTGCTCATAAATCATAGGTGAGACAATATAATTCTGCTAGAGCAGAGAAGACTGAAGCAATGTTTCCGCAAATTGTTAATTAATTACACTTACTGGGGATTGTCTTGCTTG